CAGTGATGCTGCGCAGGAGAAAAAAAAAATCTGGACTTCCCCGAACTCTTTCTGAGTGTTTCTGTACATTTCTTTTCAATTCGAGATCTGTGTGTGTGTGTGTGTGTGTGTGTGTGAGAGAGAGAGAGACAGAGAGAGAGAGAGAGTAGAAGTTGATGAAGTAGCTTTTAATCCAAATCCTGAATTTTCTGCTGAAAACCTCTTGGTCATGGCAGGTTTAAGACGTCGACACGCACACACACACGCACACACACACACACACACATGCGCGCGTGCGCACACACTCTTCTTCACTTCAAGTTGATTATTTTTCACCCTTTAGACAAGAGCAATAAATCACCACAGATGAAAAATCGAGAAGAGCTGCAGAGAAGAAGATGAGGAGGAGGAGGAGGAGGAGAGTTGAAGGAAGAAGTGGAAGACGGTGGAGCAAAGAAGGAGGAGAGGAGGAGGAGGAAGTGCCGCCTCCTACCACTGTAACTGCTCTGCAGTGTGTGATTTGTTCACTGCATTTGATCAAACTTTATTGGTTTTTAATTAAACCGTCTTTAGCCTGGTGATAGACGGGGTTTATACCTGCAGTTTGTGCTCAGCCTTTACTGCACGTCATCATTATTATGTGTTGAACTAATTGTTCAGTAAACCACAGGTGGCGCTAACGGGGGGTGGGGGGGGCAAAGAAGAATCACAGCACCAAACAAACAAACCAATCATTACCATTCAGTTAAATGAACATCTGTGGTTTTATCATAATGAGACAAAAGGTGCAAAAAGTTTTTTTTTTTAAATATTTCATGTGGAAATAAATTACATTCGACTTGTAATTGGAGCCCAGTTTCAGGTAAAACATGTAGTAGCACCACCATGGCTGTAGAGGTCACCCTCCGTGTCATCAGACTGAGGCCATTTGACCTGTAAATGCTACGTGTTGAGGTGGTATTTAGAGCTTTAGTTGCTCTGTTGAAACTAAAACTTTTTTTTCCCAGCAGTGTGTATAAATGACAACATCAAGTATGAACTGTGTATTAGAGAAACGATACGTGGCTTAAAATGGGTTAAAAAATCATAAAGGGATCAATTTCAAATTTTTTAAAGCGCTTAATATTTTAATTCAAATATATACAGTTTTTATATCATTTCTTTTTTTAAAGATGGAAATAGTTCAGAAAAATAACGTGTACAAATAAACCTGAGCTCTGACATCATTTGCTTCAGTATCAGTGCTGAAGCATTTGAGTGGAAAAACCCTCTGAAATATTGATGACAGCAGATTATTTCCCAGCCAGCGGCAGAAATATATCCAGATGAACAGATCAACACAATGATTTGATGTGATTTAATAAACTCATAAAGCTGGTTCTCCGGCTTCAGACTGATATCAACACAGTATTACAATGACTTATCACCTTTAACACTAATGTGCTGCTGCGGGACTGGGGAGATTAATTTCCTCTTCCTGTCAAGACAGGAAACTGCTGAATACATGAGTCGCCCGAACAAGTCTACGACTTCCTCTTATTAAACACACACACACCCACCCAGAGATGCAGATGCAAACAGACACACACATCAGATCCAGCCCAGCCCTGTGGTTATGAGAGTTCATCTCTTGTTTTTGTTTTTTTTTTATATTCTTCAGTTTCATCACAGTCTCGGCCCCCGCTCCGTTTCAGTCCCTCTTTTTTTTCCCCTTTCTTTTCACCTTATTGTTTTTTTTATCATCTCTCCATCACTCCCTCTGTTTTTTTTGTTTTTGTTTTGTCTGTTTCTCATTCCAGCTTTCCTCTCTCCGTCACCTCCTCTCTCGTATCAACTCTCTCCGGCTCGCTCTGTCTCTCTCCCCTCAGGCTAGCTGTGTTTATATTTCAGTCGTTTATTTCTACAAATGTCAGACAGTGTTTCTGCCCTCCGTCTATTGATCCACAGAGAGAGAGAGAGAGAGAGAGGGAGGTGGGGGGGAAGGAGGGAGGGAGGAAAGGCAGTGACAAGGAACAAAGGAGAAAGTAGAGAGAAACAGTGGGAGGACTGGGAGGTAAGAGGGGGGAGCAGGGGAGAGGTGAGGGGGGAAAGGGAGGATAAAATATGAAGGAGGGGG